TGGTAACAAATCGAGACCTCAACGACGATGAGTTTCACCGCCAGATGTAGGACAAGGATTGGTGTTTCCTTTCAGCTCTCTATTCACCCTTTCTAAAGATGCGAGGCACACTAGTGTGCAAAAATCATTTCTTACCTGTCATAGTACCAATCCTCACCTAGAAAAACCCCTCAATTTTGCTCTCATAGCATTGAAGCTTTCCCAAATCAATCACGCTATTCATAGTTGTGACCTTTGCGTTCACTTAAGGGCGCCAAAATAAACTCACAGGAAAACAAGTTGACTGCCAATGTGAACTGCTTTTTAATTCACATTTTCGTGTCAACAGAAATGTTCGATTGTAAAAATTAAATCGTCGTCGGCGCCACCAAATGTATGACATGCTTATTTTTAATTTATGCAAACATGATTGAGGCATGAACTAGGCCATATAAACAACACGTAGATGCAAGCGGACGTGATCTGCGCAAAAGCACCTGTAAGACTGTCCAGTTCATGCAAAACAAACTGCATAAAGTCACCGTAGCGCGAAACGCAACACAAATTGGTCGCCTACTTAGTGTCCCTATTCACCCTCTCCAAGAGGTGAATTGCTACAATCGCAACAAGGGATTGCTGTGGAAGCACTGACTTCTTAAAAATGATAAACATGCATTCTAACTAGATAATTAGGAATGCCTCATAAGTCTGTTGTCAAGCCAATCACACAAGAAGCTAAGTAGGTCAGTAAGGTAGACATGTTCTTTAAAGATCATAGACCCACCGATAAATAACCCTCCTCTGTTGTGCCTTTTGTGCCTTCAGCGCTTTTTTTGCAGCCCTCGCTTGAGCTGCCTGAGCTCGAGCCATGGCTTGAGCTTTAATGCAAGCAGCAGCCTCCGAGGCTTCGGCCTTAACGGCGCGCCGACGTCGGCGCTGTTGCTCAGCCGAGACACGCGGACCTCGCCACTCCTTCTCACGGGCTGTTTGGCGTCGCAGATTCTGGTAATACTTGATACGAAGGTGCAGGTCAAGGGGACGAAAGAGGATAATCAGAACCTGCAAGGGAGCGAGGAGAACTAAGCCTACAGGAGCCACCAAAAGAGCGCCCTAAAATGGGGTGTAGATAACTTATTCAGACATGTGGCACGAATTAAGCTGCAGTGTCATAAAATTACAACTTTGCGTCAAAATTCAGTCGCCCAATAAATGTCGACAAGGGCGCAGAGAAGAACCGCCAATCCTTGTCCTACATCTGGCGGTGAAACTCATCGTCGTTGAAGTCTCGATTTGTTACCA